AGTAGCTATTTTTTTATTTACGCCAATGTTATCTGCTGCTCTACTGGCAGGAAATGACTTTGTTTCCCACCAGTATATCTGCAGGTGGCTTCAAATCTCTGTTCTTTATAGGGCTGGATGATTACTCTTTTCTTCAGCATTTTTTTTATGGGATCATGGATTATTGGAGCTATTTAAGAGATGACTAATTCAGAACTGTCAGTCATACTTTTTTTTTTAACTAAGTCATGGAAATCAAGGCTGTATAAGCTTGGCTGACATGTTTGGCCTCCATGGAGTCATTAATGCAGCAAAATGCAGTAAGTGCAAAGTGAACTGTCCCTTACATATTTTATGTTTACTTGGAAGTAATCCCTAGTGAGTTCAGCAAGATTATAACTCCCAAATACATGTGTATAGGATTGTAACCTTAATGTGTGATCACCCTGTGGGGTTCCTTCACCCCAAATTAAAAATAAATGAGGAATGCCTGATATTAGAATGGAATTAAAGCCTGGGATACTGATCAAGATAGAAGTCCAACTGTCCAAAACACAATTAGCTCCTCTTCCATCATTGTCACCTCTCCTAGTTGACTAGAGAACTTGGAGACAAGTCAGTCCCAAACCAGAGGACGGTGATGTCACAAAAAAGAGAAATGAAGATTTCTGCTTCCAGTGGCCATGAAAAACAAATTGTTAAGATGTAACCATGAAGATTTCAGTGGAATTTATTTAGGTATAACAAGGCACAGAGTTGTTGGAAGCTTTTAATAAATCTATTTTAGATTTTTCCAGTTGAGGATTTCTGTCTTTAGTATGCTGTTCCAGTGAAGCCATCTTCATGTTTTCATAGAATCACAGAATTGTAGAGCTATTGTAGAGACCACAAAGGCCATCTAGGCTAATCTCCTGCAAATGCAGAAATCTTTTGCCCAGTGTGGGGCTCAAACCCATGACTCTGAGATTAAGAGTCTCATGCTCTGCTGGCTGAGTATGTGAAGGAACCTTCACAGAATGAAGAGGAAACGGGATTGTACCACAGGCCCAGCTCCTAACATTAAGAACTCCCAATGCCTCACCCCAACCATAACCATGCATGAAGTGAGGAAGCCTACATGCATAGACTTTCCTTCTTGAGACGTTCCCCTTAATCATGTGGAGCCTTCTTCATGATGTGTGGAAAAGGCTTAAGTCTCTCTTACAGGGATGGGAAACCTGTGGTCCTCCAGATGTCGGTGGACTATAGATCCTATTATCCCTGACCTTTGGCTGTGGTGGCTGGAGCTGATGGGAGTTGGAGTTCATCAATGTATGGCAGGCCACAGATTCTCCATCTGTGCCCTCTAGTTTCCAAAAATCCTGTGTATTGTTGCAATTCCCATCCAGGCCACTCAGGGTGGGAGCAGGAATGGAAAAGCAGAGGGTGGAGGAAACCACACCCAACAAATCTTACACTTCATTGGCACTATGGTGATCTCTGACCACATAATCGTCTCCATCTGTCTGTTTAGTTGCTTGTATGGTGGCTGCTCAAGTGGTTCAGGTCAGCTATAACAATGCCAAAGACACATCCTTAAAATGAAAGGGGGCAGCTTTAACGTGACAGAACCATTCCAGAGCCAATCATCCAAGCACGTAACACTGGAGGGAGGTTCCCACAAGGCTTGGAAATCAAACAGTAGCCGTGCTGCTAGCATCTATGTGTGATGATTCCCAGCCATATTTCAGAAACGAGAAGGGGACAGTGACTTCCAGATGATGCCATGTGTTGCCAAAGTTGCACAGAGTGTTCTAGGAAGTGCACACAAGATTTACTTAATTGGTTCAATGTCCCAGCAAAACTTGGGCTTTGAAGCCTTTCTTCAGAGGGAGATTATTTGGTTAAACGGCTTTTAATACACACATAGCATTCATTAGGCACCATGGTCTTTTGTGTAGCTATATTTATTACATTCCCCCAACCCTGAAGAAGCTAAAATGGATACTTCATTGGGTCCATAAATCTTACGTGTGCCTTCCTAGAACCTTTATTGCTCTGGGGCTATTGCCCTCGCTTGTTGTCATTGGTCATCATAGTTCTGCAACTGGTTGTTTTATATCAGGCTTAGGCAAACTCTGCCCTCCAGATGTTTTTGGTCTACAACTCCCATGATCCCTAGCTAACAGGACCAGTGGTCAGGGATGATGGGAATTGTAGTCCCAAAACATCTGGAGGGCCGAGTTTGCCTATGCCTGTTTTAGATTGTGCATGGTGAATTTTTAAAAGTACTAAATGTACATTATGAAAACAGTGTTGTCACTCCTACGACTGTGCTGGCTTGGACTGATGGGGTTTGTAGTCCAAAACATCTGGCAGGTACATTGTTGGTGAGGGCTGAAGTAGATGGTCTAAGCAAGATCACACAGTTGGAAGGACATCTACGCAGGTTTTTCAGGAAAGCACCTATGCCAGTCTATTCAAGAATAAGTCCCATTGAGTTCAGTGATATTCTTAGGTAAGTGAATGTAGGATTGCAACTGACATATTTGCTCATGATTTCTCAGCCTAAAAAAACTATGGCCAGTTCTGACAATTGCTTGCACTTAATGAAAGCTACAGGTAGGTAGCCTTGTTGGTCTGCCGTAGTCGAAACAAAATAAAAAATTCCTTCCAGTAGCAACTTAGAGACCAACTAAGTTTGTTATTGGTATGAGCTTTCGTGTGCATGCACACTTCTTCAGATACCTGAAGATCATCTGAAGAAGTGTGCATGCACACGAAAGCTCATACCAATCTAATAACAAACTTAGTTGGTCTCTAAGGTGCTACTGGAAGGAATTTTTTTATTTAATGAAAGCTATTACAGTAGAGAGAAATGGTCATTTTGCAGAGTCTGTGGAAGAATTAAGATTATGGTTCTGGTTCAGTTTCCAATGACAATGTGCACTATTTCAGGGTCTTCCTGTCACAGGTGAAGTCCTTCTCCTGTTATCTCGGTCCTTATGGACAGACAGCTTGCTTTTTTTTTTTTTGTAGCAAAGGCTGTTTAAGACTGCAACTGATAAGGTTTGCTTCTTGATGGGACTGGAAAAGCAGTAGTAATGCACAGAGTCTGCACTGGCTTTATTACAGCCCTTCCAATACGACCTCTGTAGTTCAAGGCGCACTCTGACATTTTATTGTTGCACTGAGGTTTGCTGACCCTGGCATGGTCTCCGATCTGTACCGCTCTGAAGCAGTTAGTACATCCACAAGACATAGTGAAGACCACTACTACTAGAGGAAGCAGGATGTTGAGTTAGATGGGTACTTGGTCTGAACCAGGAAGAGTTGTCATGAAGTGGCGGGGGTGGGGAGTCCTTGTTTCACACTACAAAAAAGGTGTGTGGATTAAAGCCCTGTGAGTTATCTTTTGCAGCTGGTGTCTGTGGGCAGAGCTCCTAACATTAACCTCAGGTTCTTTTCGCAACTGTTAGCTCTATGCCATTCTTTGGATGGCATAAATGTTCTTTTAATTTGCCTTCAACTCCTGTTGTGAAGAGGGTTTAAAAAAAACACACACCAAAAAAAACACACCTGACCCTAACAGCCCTACTGAATACTGATTGAGATACTGCATTTCTTTTATCTCAATATTTTAATTTTATTCTAGTGTTTTTTTCATCTGGAACCAGCCTTTCGGGGCAAAAAGTGAGGTAGAAGTTATTTTAAATAAATAAATAAAAATCAAGCAAAGGTTAAAAAGGCTTGGAAAGTTTTGTTGTTGTTTTCTTTGGTAGATGTGGAAAAACCCAGAGCTCTTGTGCTGTGTGGGCCTCTTGCATTATTCTGACCTGTGGAATAAAGTCTCTTCATCCAATAGGCTCTCAGTCAAACTTTTATACCGAATTCAAAGTCATTAAATAATTTATTCCCTTAAAAGCTTTGACTTCTCTGTTATAAAGATCTTATCTCAAGGCACTCCCAAACTCCCCTTCTTGTTATGCTCCATACTAAGTTATACTTGGCTCATTTCCTAGAAACTTTCTCTGAAAGATTTCTAAGCATACCAGATACTTACAATGAAACAATATGTGATAAGGCTTCTGCATAATATCTAGACATTTATCATCATTTTACTTAACCTGCCTATTTAGCCTAAATAGGAGCCACTCAAATTCCGACTAGCCTCACATTTCTGCAGTCTGGATTTTATGGCCAAATATTTCATAATTGTTCTATAAATCTCTAGTCCTTTTCCATAGTCAAAAGCACCTCACAGTAAATATGTTAATGTTATCTATGCGCTTCTTGCTTTGATGTGCCACATTGGAGTAAAAAGGTCCAATTGAGAATATTTTGTGACTGGGTTTTGTTACAAATACAAGATTTCAGTTCCTTTATACTTTTTCATTGGGAGGGAATGACATTATTCCTGCCAATCTGCAAGCCTTGTGCCTTAACAAATGCTGCCCATAACAGCTTGCGAGGGCTAAATGCCATGACTGTCCCACTGGGTTTTTAAAAGAAGAAATACTCTTGATTTGGTCAGCATGTCACTACTATAATTCTGTAGTAAGCATTATGCAGGTGCCATTATTTATGTAGCTTGGCACACACTTTGTGATGATGGTCAAGATCTGGTGCAGGGTTGCAGTTTCGGCAGCACAGTGACTGAGCAACTGTTTTACTCGCAGGAGAAGTCAGGTTGAGTTCCTGACATCTCCGGATAGGACTGGGAAATGCACCTGTCTGAGACTCACCACTTAAGAAATTTATTTATTTAAAAATATGTATTAAGTGGTTTATGACTGCTTTGAAATAAATGGCCTGTAGACATCTAATGAGTTCATGCATAAGGTGGGCATTGACCCTGACTTCCCATGTTCACATCCCAGCATTCTCTCTGTCTTGTATTGCAAATGTTTCCATAACCTTTTATGTTTAAATAATTTAATGTTCAAAAAAATAAAGCTGTCCTATAATGCTTTAAAAAGTGGAGTTTAAAAACATTTTTTTTAAAGAGCACATATTTACTCACTATTTGCTTCTCCCAACAGCTGGGCATCCACATCTGGACTCATGTTTTACAGTTCCTTTCTTTCAAACTGCAGACAAGGTAAGCAAACCAGCTTTTTCAAGGGACTAACCAGAGACAATTTAGATTCCAATGCAAGCTTAAATGGAGGGAAAGCAACAAGTTGAGAATCGGCGTTCTCCTTAGTTTCCACGATGCCATCATTTTTGCAGTGCATCTTGACCTGGGGAACAGGCAGCAACCTACAGTGTGGGTGATGAAGTCTTCCCTAAAAATGGGACATACGCAAGGGCACAGATTCTACATTCAGGTTTTTACTTCTACACAACTAGAGAGGGGTGTGTGCGAGTGTGATATATGTGATATATACTTCTAACATGCAACCCTAACCATGCCTACTCAAAAGGCTGTCTATTGAATTCCATGGGGCTTTCAGATAAGCAGACTTAGGATTGCAGCCTTGGTAAGTGTAAAAATATACAAAGATAACAGTATGTACCACAGAATGTGTGTGCACAAGAACTGGGGACAGGAGTCTTACTTGTGGCTTAACAAGAGACAATAACATTTTGAAGGATGGGAAACCCCTTTTCTCTCAAAATACACATTTAAATAACACACACACACACACACACACACACACAAACTTCCAAGAACCATGGTGCAGTACTCGACAAAATGCAAAATCTCATGGATAGCTAAGTTCTGATCTTCACATTAGAGATGGGGATCAAGTCCTTTTGTATAGGACAGGAGGGAGGGAGTCATGGATATTAGAGAAAAATAGATTAGCTCTGATCTCAGATGTCTCTGCTTTAGTGGTTCAAACATAATTTCACTTAGTTTAAAGTAATCTTTGCAAATTCATGTTGCTTATATAGCCTGCCTGGTAATATTTGCTTTATAATTGGATTGCTATATTCACTCTGATATTAAGCTTTCTCCCCCCCCCCCTTTTTTCCCCTGCTAGCTGTTTCCTCTTAGCTCAGTGTTTTCTAATTATCATTTTACTTACTGGCTCATCTTCATTTTAGTTGCTTTATTGCTCTCTGTCTCCAGAAGAATCTTTTTAAGGGGGAGGAACTTTGGTTAAGCTAGTATTGTTAACTTTGTTGGCTAACATAAGAAGATGAACACGTAGTGAAAACATTTTGGCAGCTTCAAAGCAGTTATACTATCAGGGGTCACAGGTAGGGAATTCAAACCTGACCTAAAGTCAATTGTTTTGTATTGAGCCTTAGTGGAAACTAATTGTTTATGAAATACTGACATGTAGATGATGAAACTAGAGCTGGGATAGCTTATTATTTAAGAGTGATGATCCAAGCTATTGTTTAAAAAAATATTATTGACTTGTATGAGTATAAATATTTAGAACTAATTCAGAAAAAAATAAGGAGGCCTTTAACACATTGACCCCTTATCATCTTAGCTTGTTCCCTTCTCCTTTGGGACATAGTCAGAGCAATCATTTTGATAAGAACAGATAGCTCCTTAAGAATCCTTAGATAGCTTTGAAAATGTGGTTTTGCTTATTGCAACTCTCAGTACTGAGTTTTTTGCATGTGTTCTGTGCTCTCATAGCATATCTTGTTATATAAATATTGCTTGATATTTTAAAAGTAAACTAAGGCTGAAATCCTAATCCCACTTATCTGGACATAAACTGAATTCAGTAGGACTTGTTTCTGAGTAGACAAGGCTAGTGTTGCACTGTAAGGTTTTTTTTAATGAACTTTCTCTCAAATAATTAGATTCCTATTATCCACACGATACCTGTCAGGTTATCAGTTGCATCCCACTAACTTTTACTCACTAACTTGCAATTCAGGTTGCCGGTTGCATCCCATTGACTTTTACTCAGAGTAGACCAACTTAAATTAATGGACCAAAGTTAGCTATGTTTGCTCTGTGTATGTCTAGCACTGGGTACAACCCTATGTTCCTTATGGGTAATCTCACAGATTTTGTAACTCAAAAGTTTGCTTAGCTACTGGAGTGAGAACTTACCTGTGAAAAGCATATGGTAACAGGGGAACCTGAGTGGCCTTCCAGGTGTTGATGGACTCCCAACTCCCATATGCCCCAGTCAGAATTGTTGGTTGTCGGAGATTATGGGAGTTGTAGTTCATTAACATCTCAAGGGCCACAGGTTTGCCATACTTTGGTGTTTCCAAAGACTGAGTTCCTCAATTATCCTTACAATATTGTTGCATGTGAAATTAAGAAAAGGTAATAGGTTCTACGTTTCTTAGGAATTTGTGTAATTATCAAGAATAATTAGAACAACATAGCTGAGTGGTCTTCGGCAGGGAAAGACCGCTACTAGTCTGCAAACTGCTTTGTCCATCTTTGAAGAATAAGGGAAAGAACACAATGTCTTTAAACATCCTCAGTCTTGGGTGGCCTAAGATGCCACTCAGGGAGGGTGTTGTGTGTATGTGATTTAAGTAATCCATTTCTTCCTGTTAGGGAAAACATTCCACAGTAAAACAGTGGCAACCGATAATTGTGGGATGCTAATGGAATGTTATCATAGTGTAAGTAAAATGCATTTGTTCCAACTTGGAATACTTCTGTATTGTATCCCTTTTTTATGATAGCTTCAGTATCTGTAAGAGTTTAAACAATTCTTGGGAAAAAGCCTATGCTTATGCTTGGAGACGTATTTGTGGTGCAGTTCATTAAATTAAGACTCCTAAACATGTCTCTAATTACCCTCTTAAGCCACTTATTCAACACTAAATAGCAACTGTTTATTAAGAAATTTGCTTAAGGCTACCACCACCATTGCATTAATTTGTATCTAACTGTTTAGAAATACATTGCAAATGTTCCACTATTATTGCGCGAACATAAAAGCTGCAGTCTTAATTAATATAAATGAATACAAACTGAAGGAAGCATGTTTTCAATTTCGGAAGAAAGTTTAAAGCCTCATTGGAAAAATAAAAGAACATCTACTTTTTTTATTAAAAAATGCAATCCAAAACAAGTCGTTTAGCGTTCCCAAAGCACTGTGTGTTTCAGTGCTCTTGCATACATACATTAACACAGCGGTAGCCAATGTGGCGCTCTTCAAGACATTTCAAAGGTTCTAAACCGTGGACATTTTAGCAAAATGTATTTAAAAGCCTATGAAGTATAACACAAACGTTACTTAATGTAAGTCTGAGACTAGTAAAAAGAGTTGTGGGCAACTTACAACTGCCAGGAACTATGCCTCAGTGCCTTCCACATGCATTGCAGCAGGAGGATTAGATTTGGGGCGCAGGAGGATTTGGGGCACAGGACAGAATTCCAAACAAAGATGTGCTCTCCGAAGCCCACATTCCCAGCATGTTCACACTCCTGCCTCAGCGACATCTACGCTAGTTTGGTCATGTCCACAGAATGGAAGATGGCAGGATCCCCAAGGAGTTGGCTACAGGGAGCTGGCTTCTGGCACCACAGACCAGCTGTGTGTTACAAATATGTCTGCAAACATGACACGAAGGCTGACAACATCAACCCCACCATGTGGGAATCCCTTTCAGACAACCACAGTGCCTGGAGGCAGGCGGTCAAGTTGTGTATCCATAGCGGTGACCAGGGGAGAAATGACTGCTGGGAGAAAGTGCATCTACAGCAACACAACTGGATGCCTTCATCTGCCCCAGCTGTAACAAAGCATGTCTCTCCCGTATCGGTCTCCACAGCCACAGCAGGCGCTGCAACATCCCAACCTCATCCCCAAAGGTGCACTTCTCCATTGTCTCCTGAGACCGAAAGCCTAAGAACATGGCAAAACCAGGAGCTTCACGATTTGTACTTTATTATTAGCCGCTCCACTCCACTCCACCTGCTGCTCATATGGGCTAGCTTTTTGGACAGCGGTTTTCTTGTTGAATTGTTCCTTATCCTGCTTTTTGAATAAACTATTTTTTTATCTGGCTGCGAATCGAGATTCTATGTTTAGAGTGCAGGTGGTGACTATGAAGTTGCCAGTTTGCAAGTTGCATTGTGTGTATGCGTGCTTCTGGGAAGATTTGATAATGCAGGTTTCAAGTATTTTTAGCCATAAACTTAAAGCATCATTCGTTAGCATCCTTTTCTAACCATGGGACCATAACTTGCCTGCTTGGTGGAGAAAACAACTAATTTGCCAGAAATACAAGGCAGTGACTGAGAGAAATACTGATACCGTTGTGCAGAGGAAGATGCAATTTTGAGCTCATTACCCTCCATCAGTTCATACTGAGAAAGTGACACCACTTCCTTCCTGGGTGTCTCAGTTTTGTATGTTGTTTTCATAAAGTTAATGAAGGGAGAGATCTACACTATTGAGCAAATGGCTCTTTAAATGCTAGCTGTATCTCCCACCCCAATGTACACACACATAAAGCACACACATCTCCAAAAATGCAACATTGCACAATGGAAATTATGCAGTAAATGATTTCTATTTGGATCAACAGTTCAGAGATAAGTGCCTTGACGATTGCAACCTTTTTGTGGGGGGAGAGGTGTGAGGTTATATACTGCAGGTATATTTCAGCTACGCTAGTTTTTTATAATAATTTATGAGCTGATTCACATGGGATCTGTTGTGTCCTCACAGACAAGTTTTATCTTCTCGACTCTGCTGCTAATGGACTTCCTCCTAGGGGGTACCATACTCTATAAGACAGTAAGTCTCCATTATGAATTAGCCATGTAAATCAGTGGCCTTACTGTACCTTGCAAGAGAGTCTTAAGTAGAACTTAGGGAGGTCAGAATACCTGAATCGAGAGTGAGCACAGAGATCTAGAGCTGTCAACCTCTGAAGCACAAAACCCTACTAACTGGACAGCCGCTAAGCCTATGAGGCCTAGGTAGTAGTGGGGCCAGAGTCCATGCTCTAGGGAGCAGAACTGCAAACCCTGTTTTGTGCATTTTTTTCATGTAGGGCACTCACGGTTTCAAGCTGCGCTTTGGCTGTCAAATGTATACATAAGATCAGTACAGTACAGTACCTCAGGTTACATACGCTTCAGGTTACAGACTTCGCTAACCCAGAAATAGTGCTTCAGGTTAAGAACTTTGCTTCAGGATGAGAACA